CTCTTTCACCTCACGATTATCACGACAAGGTGCATCGTCCCTTCTGTACTTCTCGAGTTTCCCAGCCTTGATGAGGGTCTCAATGGCATCCTTCAGGTGGACGCAGTCCTCGGTAACGTGACCATAACTCTGGTCGTACTTACAATATTTGGTCCTGTCGACCCTGGGCTTGGGACGTGTATATTTAGGTCGTCTAACCCACCATCCTTGAACTTAGAATTGGCACACTGTGAGGATACGCTTGTGGGGAGCGGTTAGTGGAGTGTACTCGGTGAAGCTTCCAGTTAGACTTTTGTGCTCGCGAGAATCACAGGGTCTCTCTTCTTTTCTCTTATCCCCGATTGGTCGAGATGGTCCCGCGTTATTTTGCCTCGTGTACCGGGTGTTCCGCGGTTCCTAGAATCATGGGAGCTGTTGGTGGCCTCCTTCTCCTTGTACATGATGTAGGCCTGAACTTTATGGAGGAGTTCACCTAATGACCTGGGAGGCTCGATGTTGACTACCTACCTAAAGTCGCTGCCAGGGAGAAGCCCTCTCTCGAGCAGGTACCTCTTCATGAGGTCGGTAGTGGGGACTTGGATGGCATCGTGGTTGAATAGCTTAATATATGCTCAGAGAGGTTTGTCTCTCCCTTGGATGATCGCCTCGAGGGACACCTCAGTCTTGGGGTGCCGTCGAGAGGTTGTGAAGTTTCTGGCGAACTGGATTTTCAAGTTCTTCCACGAGGTGATGAACTTGGGGAAGAGGCTTTTATACTAATCCATGGCAGTTTTCCTCAGAGTTGTGGGGAATAACCTGCACTTGATAGCACCCTCGATGTTGTGGAAGTGGAGCATTGCCTCGAAGCTGTTGAGGTGGTCGTCAGGGTCTGTAGCGCCATTGTAACTATTCAAAGGTGGAGGTTTATCCATCCCCTTAGGAATAGGGCCCTCCATAATAGCTTGGGATAGTGGACCGCATGGGTCATCTTCATCACTTGCTCTGGGGAATGAGATAGGGAATGGTCGAAACAGTGGTCTCTATGGCAGGGATAATTCCTTTCCCGAGTTCTCTTTGTTTCTTCCTTGCCCTTGTTCCTCTTATGAGTAGGGGATCGACGTTCTTTGCACGGTGGAGTGCGATCGTGCTTCTTGATGATTTCAAGTTTGGTCCTCTCAAGTCGAGGGCCTCGCCCAGTGCAACGAGGAGAGGAGCTGTGTGAGTCTTCCCGTTGGTGTCTCCACGGAGGAGATCTAAAATTGGTTTCACGTCATTGTGGAGACGAGTTGCGTGAATCGTGTCTTCTGTGCCTCCTAGGGGAGCGTGGTCAGCGGGCCTTCTCCAGAATTCTGAGGCGTTCACCCTACGTGAAGATCATGTAATTGGTTTGATTGATCACCTCCAACAGGGTCTGGGTCGTAGGATCAACATTAGCGGACACCGGGATTTCCTGGCACGCTGCAGGTTCCTCGACCTGTCGGTGAGAGTTGTCTAGAGGATGTGAGCGGGTAGACGAGGAGCTTGTCCTTTAATCCTTGCTATTGTGCTCGAGAACGCCAACATTATTGTTGCCAACATCGGCGAAGTGAACATTCTAGTTACCATTGTTGACTTGTCGACCATGACGATCGGATGGTTGAAAGAGTTTGCTTTGGTCTTAAGTTAGGAAAATATGGGGAAGCAGTTGATTCTCACAGAAGGTTCCACTGATTATACCTGATCAGGATGGATCGTCAATGGGCCACAAGCTTGAACTGAACGAAGGTCTAAGGTGAAGTGGGGGGTACCTGCAAGATACTCTGATGCCAAAGTAAGGTTCATAGCAGAATGCAAGTAATGAAAAGTGTGAAGAATAATGTACCTGGCCCTCTACTAAAAGAGGGTATTTATAGCCCCCAGCACTGGGACAAGACCTTCGTTATAGGCTGAGGATCCAGGCCCACAACGAATGGCTTCCAGGACTCACGCGTGTGAAATGGAGCAGTGCGTGCCCATAATCCTAGTTCAACTGTCTTGTCTTCTTCAGATAGCGAAGGACTAGTTCTTCATTGAGAGAAAGATGCTTGGTGATAATCGAAGGACCATTGGCCACGTGCTTACGGAGGGGCACGTGGAGAGTGTTCCCCAACGGCTATGAGTTCGACCATATTATAGGGCCTTCTTTAAGGGAGCGTCGGACTTGGGCACGCCCCTCAGTGGGCCAAACGCATGTCCACTCTAGGACAATATCTATATATATTGGTAGTGTTTAAAGTTCATTCAACCGTTCTTAAGATTTTAAGTAGAAAATGATTTTATAGTCGGTTTGGTGCGTGAAAGTAAATAACAAAAATAAATGACAAAAAGTAAAATGGAGATTTTGGTGTTAACGGTAATAAAACTTGTTATGGATAGATTTCGTCATTACGTATTTATCATGCATAATCATAGGTCATCAAAATGATTTTCTACTCAACTATTAATATTATCACATGTTGCTCTCATTCGTATCTCCTGTCGGTCTTAACACCTTGAGATCATTGCATTACCTAAGAGTCGATATCTCAGTTTATTAACCAACAAAAAGCCTTAAATTCTAATTGTTATAAAGCAATAATACTCCACATAGATACACAAATTAAGCTCCAAAACTCATAATATATCATTGAGAAACAACTCACAAATCCCTTTACATGAAAGAAACTAGTCTTAATATTTTTATAGGATGACTAAAAGGGACCAAAATAGACATGACTTGTCTGGCTTCTAAGAGACACCTACCCTCTTCAATCCCTTAATACAAGCAAAATAAAATAACACCCTAACTAAGGGTTCAATGTATAAACCTTGACAAACAACCTCAAAGAAACAGACAAAAGACCAAATATTTAGATGTAGTTGAGATGAGGTCACATTAATCTCTCTAAAATTCACCTATAAAAAGTCACTAAAAAGAATTTTAAACTTTTGGTTCTCAATAACAGTCATACAAGTAAAAGACATATGCTAAAGACCCTTGAGAACAAGACATAAAACTTTCTCCCCATCTTAACCAGGTTCCAAGACAACATCCTTTTCACAACTAATGAACGGTATTTTCTAGCTGTGCACTTATGGTGGTACTGTCATCTGTCATGCAGATTTCAAGAACTACAATCATAATCAATAATGAAAGAGCCGGCTATTTAAACAAGTGCAACTGAAGAATCATGAAAATATCCTAGGAAAGGCAATGCAAAAATTATTTTTCAATCACTATGATGCATATTTTCACTATCCTCACCCGAAAAACTAGAACTAATAGAAGGATTACTAAAACCTAAAATTTCTCTAAAATACTTATTCTGCTTCAAACTATCACATTTTCTTTTAAAATGATAATAACACTTACAAGTTTTTCTTTGCAAGAAAGGGGGAGTAAAAATCTTACAATTTAAAGGAAGAAACAACTAAAAACTACAAGGGAAGGAAAAAATTAGGAAAATGGAATAGCTTAGTAAGATACGAAGAACACAACAAAAAGGTCAATTAGGGCACTGAACTAAAAATAAAGAAATGCTCGAGAGAAAAATAATAAGGAAGAAATATGCAACAAAAACATATAAAAGGAGGATAGAAGGGAAACTCAAAAGTCACGTCAAGTGGAAGTTATAACCTACATCAATAGTTGTCACATAGGGGACAATGCAAACGCTTGTTAAGGGAGCAAGAAATATCCCTAAATAACTATAATATTAATAACAAACGGAAATACAACCACTCCAATCCTCTCATAAGAAAATAATGAGAAATGTTAATATTCCCAACGTACCAAAATAGAAAACTCAACATAAAATAATACTCCACACAATAAACAATTCACAAAGAATTGATGTGTACCGTCCCTACCAGGCCTCGTGCTTGAGGGGCAGTGGATTAGGGTAACATTCTAAAACACTTTGTTCTTTTTAGATCTTGTGCTATGGAGGACCGGAATAACATTTTATCAAACACTTCACTCTTTTCAAACCTCATGCTTGAAAAGACTGATGGACCAAAGTGACATTTTTAAATACTTTGCCCTTGTTAGGTCATGTGCTTAGGGGTGGTGGAATTGCATAATATTCTCAAAACACTTAATCCCTACTTAACTTCATATTTGGAGAAATATGGACCGATATAAATCTAAAAGGACCATAAGTCAGAACTCAAAATAACTGCATAAACATGAGCCTTAAACCAAAAGTCAAATCCTACCACATTTATTATAGAGGAAGGACCCAAATGTCATGTTAGGCATAAGAGAATGCGTTAGATTGACTACGGTGAATCTTCATTGGAGCGTGTGGGAGCCATGGAACCCCCTCGAATAACTTTTATATGCTAAGTTAGGCGTAGGATGACATATCATTTTCAAATGGCATAGCGGTAAGTGAATTATTTCTATAATAGCATAGCATAAGGTGGTTAAATTTTGGTGTCATTTCTTTTGTATTTTAGTTGAAAAAGAAATGTTATTTCCAAGAATAGAACCCTCATATATGAGTTAACAATAATATACAATTAACCACCGCACCAACTAAGAATTTATGACAATTGTGTGAAACAATTTATATATGTTCTTTAGTTTTTGGTACCCCAAAATAGTTTTACAAGATCCGGCATTATAACTGTTACCCTTGATGGATTTGGAACCTGACTCCAATCGACTCAGATAGCTTTCTTTTTTTCTTCTGAAAAGGTCAAAATCAATATAAAAACTTCAAGGCATAATGCATGCCAATACAATAAGTTCAAATTGACAGCACCCCTTTACAAATTAACAAGTCCAGAGCCAGAACCCCATTATTCTAACCAACCACCTCTACTCCCCACAAACTTCAAATAGAATAGAATACATGTACCTTAGCGTTGAGCAACTAAGATACGCAATGAAAACAAATAAAACAATGTAACCAAAGCAACGGAACACTTGCTACGCACAAATATAGCAGCTCCAAACTATTGAGTTCGGCAGGACATTGTCACCAACAGAACCGCTCCACAACCACTCCTGAGCTAAATTAAACAAAGACTGTTACTGCACAATCTTGAACTTCAGAACAGACTTCATAATCGATTGATTCCTTTGCACTTCTGTCCCAGTAGACATTTCCAGCTCGGGACCCCAAGCCGCTATTGACTGTCGCGTTTTGCCCTCGGTGAACCAAAACCATGACTCCTAAAAGAACTATCACAGTTAATAAACAATATCACAACCAAGGTCTTAAAAAACGGTCCACGACCGCGAATACCGCCGCGACAAAACAGTATTGGAGCCTTCCGATACCGTTATTCACCGTTTTAAGACTGAGAAAAAAAATCACACACGAAACACCGTTACGGTCGCGACAAAACGCCGTTACGTCCGTGAAACACCGTTACAGCCGTTTACACACCGTTATTGACGATATGGTCGCGACAAAACGCCGTTACGTCCGTGAAACACCATTACAGCCGTTTACACACCGTTATTGACGACATTGACAGAATTTTTTATTTTCAAAGTACAAATCAAATGACTTTTACAGGAATCAAAATATTAAAATTTTGAACTAAAATTTTGTTTTATTGTAAAAATGAAATCATACTATTTTTATAGGAATCCTACTCTTTTTACAGGAATCCTATTTTGTGCAATGGTGTGAGAAATTCACACCGCGACGACCATTATTTGCAACATAATATTTGTACTGACCGAAATCGCGAAAGCCGCAACGCGACCGTTTTTTAAAACCTTGATCACAACCAATTCCGACAATAGGTAATCTGTAAATCGGCCACGATACAGCAATCAAACTCCTGAAAAAACTTGCAGGCTCAGCGACTTTCACCACCCTGCTGCACCGACAAAACAATTCAGCGGAACCACCATAGCAGACGAAGATTAGAGCCTCCAATCTGCTACCAGCACAAGCCACAACAAAGCTGCAGCACTCAATCACGACATCACGCCATAAAATAAAAATTCTAGAGCTTTCCGCCTGTAAATTTGCTCGATTATATCAACCTCGCCACACCCACCATTCAACTCCACCACAGCGAGACCAAACCAGAACTGCAATGAAACTCTAAAACCAGAATCCGACCCACACAAACCAGAGCCTGTCAAATAAGCTATGCCCGGAACTTACTCGAGAACTCGAGAACGCAACCTACAACGGCATTACAGAACTGTAATGAAACTCTTAGAAATAGCTCCTTTTTAACTGAACCAAGATACACCCTCTGCATCATATCAGTCTGAAACAAAACATTCCTGCACCAGAACAAAACCAAGTTCCACATCTGATCCAGTAGTTCCGGCTAAGAAGTGAAAATGAGGCCTGCATCGAGGACTTAAATGACAACACACAGCACCACGATTTTCGTGAGCAGTCAACATATTCAATAAATTTCTGCATATAATACATACGCGGCTCCACAACACAAAATCTCCTCTCTCCACATCCATATTCAGCCAATTACAACACCAACAAGACAAATCTACACTCCCTTAAAATTACGATCACATAGAATCAAACCACCCGATACAAGGGACAGGCCGCAACAAAACATCGAAATACCAAACCCCCCTGATCAGCCATTGTTATACACACATAATGACAGTATCCGACTCTAACTAGCTCCACAGCTGTATTGTGACACAGCTTTTAAGACAGTTGCAGCTGTACCGTGCACAACAGAAGTACATTACTGTCATCGACATCTCATGCTCAATCAAACAAGATCTGCTGCAGCTATTCCGGGCACCTCTGCACGAACAATTCTGTAATGTACAATCAAACAAGTCATACCTTCAAAATAAATAAACAAAATTCTTTCATTTATTTAAGATAACCAGATTTTTTTTAATTTTTCAAACGGTAAAGTAAGTCTTAATTCGTCTGACCATTATTTCATGCGCAAGATATCTAACATTCGATGAACTGTTCATTTGTATGAACTGTGTACTATGATAAAGGGCGGCAAATTTTTAATCATCTTTTCTTCACATGTCATTTTCATGTTGATTTTCATATATTTACATTTTTATTTTTGGTACAACTATACTATTGATTATTTCTTATACAAATATTTAAAACCTTATTTCATTAGCATAACTATTCTACATACTTCCACCTTAATTGAGAAAATATCAATTTTATATCTAATGCTTTTTACTTATACAACTCTATACTAATACATTTGACATTTTTATTAGATGTTCCGTGCCTTTTTTTATAAAGCTTTATTTAAGTGTGATGATATTAGAAAGCTATGTTTCATGCCTTTTTTTATAAAGCTATATTTAAGTAACACATTGAACAGAACAAAATGGAATACCAACAAAGAAAAAATATTAACAGAATTGAGAATAGAACCATTGCTATAACATTTTAATCTTAGAATAACATCCAACTTCACAAATGCATCTCATTTTGTTGTATTCCACGCTCAACAAATCTTAACATCAGGTTATCGGCCTCCGCCGATTTACCATCTAACACCAGTTTCTTGCTCACTTTCTCACAAAGTTTTAAATCGGGAATCAAGTTTCGTCTAAACATTTGACAAGCCACTTTATATGCTGATATAGCAATCCCTTTACTCAAATAGCTTTGCATCAGAACATGACATGTTTTAGCATCAAGTTTTGACGCTGTTCTCAGAACCTTCCCTAGTAGTTTCTCAGCCTCCTCAAAGTTTCCAAATTCACAAAGCTTCTCAATAACTTGATTGTATACTGTTCTAAACGGCTGCCTAGCAAGCATTTTTTCCAATAGTTTCATCATATCGTCTACTCGTCGCCATTGACAAAAACGGTGAATCACTGCTCTGTATGTTACAGGTGTTGGATCAAAACCCTTGCCTAGCATTTTTATAATTAACTCGGCAGCCTCGTCCAATCTACCTTTCTTCCCTAATGCATCAAACAATGCTGTGTATGTGATGGCATCAGGATGTTTATTGCTTAAATACATGTCGTCTAGCACTGACAGAGCTGCGTCCAAGTCACCAATCTGACAGAAACCGTAAATTACAGCGGTGAAGTTTACGACATTAACGGCACAACCCTTATGCAGACATTCTTCTAAGAATTTTTTAGCTTCGACTACATTCTGATTTTTACATAGTGACTGTATTAGCAGGTTAATTTCAACTGGATTTGGGAGAAAACCTTTTCCGATCATTTCTCTAATCATATCACACGCCTCGGACAATTTTCCCTCCCTACGGAGTCCATGCATCACAGCGCTATACGTGATGGCATTTGGAGTCCACCAATTCTCCTCACTTAAACTTATCATCTCCCTAGCCTCTAATGATTTTCCATTCTGACAGAGGCCATTCAACAAGGCTGTATATGTCACGGTATTCGGTTTGCACCCATGTTTGTACATTTGCTGCAGCATCTTTTTCGCTTCATCTAACTTCCCCACGCGACAAAATCCATCAATAATAGCAGTATATGTCACTACATCAGGATTACAACCTTTCGAGTGCATATCGATCACCAAACTTTTCGCATCGTCTATCCTCCTTTTTTTACAAAACGAGTCAACTACTGCACTATACCCGACCTTATCAATGTGGAAACCCTTCTCTTCTGCTTCCATTAGGAAAGCAAGAGCATCATCTGCATGTCCATGCTTCGATAGCGCATGGATTAGTGTATTATACGTAACCTGGTCTTGTATTAAATTACTATCTCGAACCATATTCGCCATTAAATGCTTCACTTTTTCAACTTTTCTATCCTTACAGAGGAAAGCCATCACAGTATAGTAACTAACTTTATCCGGAGGGCATCCCTTATATGGCATTTCTGCAATAAGCTTCAGTGCATCATCAATCCGATTTAAATCACAGTAACCTTTGATCAAACAGTTATAACTGACACTATCAGGTTTGATTCCAGCCACCTGCATTCGCTCCAAGAATCTTAACGCTTTTTCCAATTTAGCGCCTTTAACCAAAACATAAACAGCAGTGTTACATATCGATAAATCCGGTTCGACTCCAGCTTTCTGCATCAACGTCAAAAGCTGCAGCGCATTCCTCAACTTCCCTGCCCGGCTATACGACACCATCACATAACCAAAAGCCTCCGGAGAACACTCAATTCCCCGGCGAGTCAAAAGTCTTAGAACCCTCCTCGCACCTTGACACAACTTAGTCTTGCTAAGAATATCCAGCATTGTATAGTACACAATAGTATCATGTCTGTAACGCCATTGCCGATCCGCCCAGTAAAAAAAACTCAAAGCAATCCTTTCATCCTCTTGAGACCGCAAAACAGCACAAACAAGTTTCGGTTTTAGACTCCTTAATAAATGCCTCAAATTTCCCTCAAATTTAGGGTTCCAACTCGACCTAAGTGTAATTAACCTACAAACTTCTCTAACCAACGGGTGTCGAAATTCACTCTCATCAATTTCAAATCTTGCAATACTTTCTCTCTGTCTGTTACCATTCCCATGAAAGGAACTAGTAATCTCAATATCAATTTCTTCACCTTCCTCTTCAACTTCTTCATCACCTTCTTCTACATTATCATTAACACTTGCAGCAAAACCTAATTTTTCAGAAAACACATAACCCAGTTTCCCAAAACCCTCATTGAAATTCTCATTGTTGCATTTACCCTTACTAGTGGTTGAATAAGAACCCAAAACAGAATGAAGATTCAAAGCAATACAAGATAAATGATTAACACAGAAATGGGAAGCTAAAGCCTTTCCTAATAGATAGTGATTCAATCTCAGGATTGCCATTGACAACAACAACAACAACAAAAAGTATATTGATGTTAAACTTACAGGGACAGCAACTATACCCACATTTCAATTTCATCAACAATGGTTAAGATTTTATTGAAAGTTCGAAATTTACCTTGAAACTTGACGTGGGTAAACGAAACGACAAATGATACTGAAATAAACTTCTAAGGTTTAAGCGTAATTTGCTTCTTTTTCTTTTTAATAAATAAATTTAATTGATTTTTAATTAAAAGAGTTTTTTTTTTTTTTAATCTAAGAACATAATATGTCCCGGTTAATACATCCTTAACCTTTCCTTTGCTTCTGACACATCATCATTTGAGGATTAATTAATGTCCAAAAAATACTTTTTGTAATTAATTTTGTTTTCTTATCCAAATTTAACTATTTAATTCATTTTTAAAAAAATTTCTTTCCAAATTACGCTTGCTTTTCCTATTCCTAATTGCATTCTAACCATTTGTAATTTTTTCTTCTTCTAACTTCAACACCTAACCTCTATTGACCAAGCTTTTAATTCTTCTTCAATCTTATTTTCGAAAAAGCAAATATCATATCAATTAAATCTTTGCACTGTTTTATTCTGCTTTTCTACAATAGTCTGAAATTTGTTCAACTTACTCAACCTTTTATCCCCTTGCAACTGCTCTTTCTTTCAAACTCATCATCACAATCTTCTTATCTTCCTCATACGCCATTTATTAAACTTATTTTCAATACCTTTTATTCAAACCCAAAATGTTTCTTCCATTTTACTCATTCAACTACGTTTATCCTCTGGTTGTTATGACAAGACCATTTAGGAAGATAAAGGACATCAACAACAGGAAGGAACTATAGAAAATTGATGTTAAAATCTACTATAAATGAAGCACAAAAAAGCACTTCGACATGACCATCCTTGACAAACATGTGAATTTTTTCGATTTTGGAAAAACACAATCCGAAAGTAATCAAATCAAAATAATAAAATCAGTGTAAATACATGGATATAATATCCTCCTCCAGACTTCACCGAGGAACATCATACAGACTTCAACGGGGAAAACAAATATCTCAACGTCTAGATTTCCACTGGAGATTACAATATTGACTTCATTAGGGCAGATGAAAATCGCATCATCAAGATATCAACTGGGGATTTCATGCTGACTTCAATGGGGAGGATAATTCCATATTGTCGAGGGGAGCCCAAAATACATTTTTCAATACCAAGAGTAAAGATTACACTAACCTCCTTGGGAGAAATTATGAAACCACATGAGGAATCTGGGATAGAGGCTTCAGACCATGTAAATCCGAAATCAAAATGAACCAAGACTTGATTGGGGAAAATGGGATCACAAACCCAACACCGCACCATACATCAATTGGTATCATCTCCAACTATCTGAGAAACATAAGAAGATCATATGCATAGCAGCAAAAGTGACATGGGAGAACCTTCCTTGGGAATACATACTTCCAAAATTACATAGTTCGTCCATCCTTGAAATCACTATTTTTTTTCTTGAGTCACAAAATCTAAAGTAAAAAGTAATTTGTAAATTCTTTTCAAAAACAATTTTGTTATTTAATCTTCTTGTTTTGAAAATTACTATCAATAATAAATGGAGTCTTTATAGACAGAATAAAATAAGAATTGCAAAGAATTGGATAAAAGCTCAAACTTTATTAATAAAATGGTAATCTGTGAATGGCGAGTCTCTATAGATGATTACAAAGTTTGGAAAATGGTAATATATTGGAAGAGGTAAATTGAAATACAATGACCTCTATTCTCCCTAACAACTTTGAATTCCTGAGCAGCGACTTCTGTTTAAGTATGGTGATAATCCGAGAAGGTTGCTGCTTCAATGTCAAATCTTGCCTGACGCAATTACTTACCAAAAAATCCCTAACTTTTGCCTAGGTTGCCCTTGCGGGTTTTCAACCTAGTGGGAAGAATTTATTCTGTTTATGTCTCTAATTTTTTCCTAGACCTCCCTTTCGGGTTTTCAGCCTACCGAGACATTTTTTTTGCCTAAGTCGCTCTTTCGGGTTTTCAACTTAGCAAGATGTTCTTTTATTTATTTAGGCAAAGTATTTCTTGACTGCATTAGCATTCATATGACGTGGGAACTCCTCTTCATCCATAGTTTCAAGAATTAATGCACCGCCAGAGGAGGCTTTCTTGACAACATATAGACCTTCAAAATTAGGAGTCCACTTTCCCCTAGAATTAGCGTTAAAAGACATGATCATCCTGAGCACGAGGTCGCCTTCTCTGAATTCGCGAGGCTTGACCTTCTTATCAAAAGCTTTCTTCATTCTCTTCTAATATAACTGACCATGACATTAAGCTGTCATTCTCTTTTCTTCAATCAAACTCAACTAGTCAAACTTGTTCTGGACCCATTCAGCCTCTGACAACTTGGTTTCCATTATTATACGTAAGGAGGTAATCTTAACTTCAACGGGGAGCACTGCTTCCATACCATACACAAGAGAGAACGGGGTTGCCCCTGTTGAAGTGTGGACAAATGTATGGTACCCATGCAAAGAAAAAGAGAGAATCTCCTACCAATCTTTATAAGTGACAACCATTTTCTGGATGATCTTCTTGATGTTCTTATTAGCAACTTCAACAACACCATTCATCTTTGGTCTGTAAGGAGATGAATTGTGATGGACAATCTTGAATTCTTCACAAAGTTTTGTCATCATCTTATTACTCAGATTCGAGCCATTGTCAATGATAATCCTGCTTGACACACCATACCGACATATTAGATTGTTCTTGATAAAGCGTACTACCACTTGCTTAGTAACATTAACATATGAAGTTGCTTCCACCCACTTGGAAAAGTAGCCTATTGCCACCAAAATAAAACCATGTCCATTCGACGTCTTAGGTTCAATCATTCCAATCATGTAAATATCCCACATAGAGAAAGGCCACGAGGAAGAAATAACATTGAGAAGCGTCGGAGGCACATGAATTTTGTCAACATAAATCTGGCATTTATGGCACTTCTTTGCAAATTTATAACAGTCAGATTCCATTGTCAGCCAATAGTAACCTTCCATAAGCATCTTCTTTTCCATCGAATGTCCATTAGCATGAGTTCCAAAGGAACCTTCATGGATCTCATGCATCCATATGTCTGCTTTGTGTCTATCTATGTATCTGAGTAAGACCATGTCATAATTTCTTTTGTATAGCACATCTTCATTGAGGAAGAAGCTGCCTGCCAACCTTCTCAATGTCTTTCTATCTTTGTTTGACGCACCAAGTGGGTATTCCTGAGTCTATAGAAAATGCTTGATGTCATAATACCAAGGTTTTTTGTCTGACGTTTCCTTTGTTGCAAACACATGAACTGGTCTATCCAAACGTCACAATGTGATACGAGGCACGTCGTTCCAAATATTTACTTGATACATAAAAGCCAAAGTAGCCAAAGCATCCGCCATCTGATTTTCATCTCTGGGAATATGATGGAATTCAACTTTATTAAAGAAAGGTAATAATCTTCTAGCATAGTATTTGTAGGGAATCAAGCCAGGGTGACGAGTATCCCATTCTTATTTAATCCTATTTATTAACAAAGCTGAATCGCCATACACATCTAGAATTTTTATTCTGAGATCTATAGCCTCCTCGAGACCCATGATACAAGCTTTATACTCTGCCACGTTATTGGTGCAATCAAATGCCAACCTTGCAGTAAATAGGATATGCGATCCATGAGGAGTGATAATCACATCACCAATTCCTTTCCCATAAGCATTCACAGCTCCATCAAACACCATGCCCCAACGAGATTCAGGATCAGAACCTTCCTCAAGAAACGGTTTATCACAATCTTTTATTTTCAAAAACATCACATCCTCAACAGAGAAATCATATTTAACAGACTGATAATCATCAACCAGTTGGTGAGCAAGATAATCTTCCAACACGCTGCTTTTTATAGCCTTCTGAGTACGGTATTCAATATCATATTCAAACAACAGCATCTGCCAACGGGAAATTCTCCCAGTAAGAGCAAGCTTTTCAAAAAATAAACTTAATTGGATCCATTTTGGAAATCAACAAAGTGGTATGATTCAACATATATTGCTGCAATCGTTTTGCGGCCTAGGCCAGAGCATAACATGTCTTCTCCAACATAGAATACCATGACTCACTGTCAGTAAACTTCTTACTGAGATAATAAATGGCATATTTCTTCTTCTCTATTTCATCTTGTTGTTCCAAAATACAGCCCATAGAATCATCTAACACTATCAAATACATAATCAATGGTCTTCCTTCAACAGGCGGGAGCAAGATAGGAGGTTCAAGAAGATACTCTTTAATACTCTCAAATTCCCTTTGGCAATCATCTGTCCACACAACCTTGATCTTTCTTTAACAACTTAAAGATCGGCTCACACATTGCAGTCATATGGGAGATAAATCTGGAAATGTAATTCAAACGCCTAAGGAAGCCTCTAACTTACTTTTCAGTTCTTGGTGCCGACATTTCTTGAATTGCTTTAACTTTATCAGGGTCAACTTCAATTTCTTTTTGGCTGACAACAAAACCTAACAATTTTCCTGATCGAACACCAAAGGTGCATTTATTTATATTCAAGCGGAGACGATACTTCTTCAAGGGCTGAAACAATTTAAACAAATCTTCTATATACCCTTCTTTAGTCTGGGACATATAAATCATATCATCAATGCATACCTCAATTTCCTTGTGCATCGGATCATGGAATAGGGTTCTCATAGCCCTCTAGTACGTTGCATCAGCATTCTTCAACCCGAAGGGCATCACTCTGTAATAGAATTTTCCCCAGGGTGTGATAAACATTGTTTTTTCCATGTCCTCAGGAGCCATTCTGATTTGATTATATCCGGAAAATCCATCCATGAACTAGTTTGATGTACTATTGTGATCGGTGGATCCGGAACTGACTGTTTAACGCTGGTTCGCGAAATGTCACGGTAAGCAAGAGTC